GTGCCTAGCCTTAGTATGGGGGGTAGGAAACTTCCATACATACCTTTTCAGGAGGGAGTTTACCTTACAGACGGACCATCAGCCGCTCTTATATCTGAACAAAGCAAAGGTTGCAAACGCAAGATTAATGCGCTGGGCGTTGTCTTTGGAACCGTATACTTTCCGGCTCGAGGCGATTCGTGGTTCGAAAATGTGAGTGCGGATTTTTTAAGTAGGGTGTAATCAACAGATCATTTTCGTTCAGAGTCCAGACTCGAATGTCTCAATAATTGTTTATTTGTTCACATTCCGTGATTTTTTCTAAAAGTGTTGCCACTTTTTTAATGGGGGAGGTATTGCCACAGAATTGTATAAATTTTTTTTTTAAAAAAGTAAATATACTCGGGTTTCGGTTTTCGTGTACAACGATACCTGAGGGTGATAATGTATATTCTGCAATATTTCGAAACAGTGAGTTCGGTTGATCATGCGTCGCACGTGCGGGATGCTTTAGACGGGAAAAACCGAATACATGAATTATATAAACGATATTGAGCTACATTTACTGTGAATAAATGCATTAAGTTAAAGTCAAATCCTTACATTACGGACCGTTTTGTCAATTGAGACAAAATTATAAACAAATACGGGACAATAGAAAATAATTATTTCCTGTACACAAATAATATTAATGACAATAACATTTATATAGAACTAAAAACATATATAAACTCAATAATGAAAGTCAAAAGAGAAGATGCTTAATTCAATAATTTTACATACTTAGGGATCCTTGTCACTGATCAGCATAACAGCAAAACAACACATACAAAATAATACAGTGGCAGCTTTACAACTTTCCTCCTTCTATTCTTCCTTCTGTAATACACGTACACTAAATTTTTACTGGTTCTACAGACCGTGAAGTTTGGTAAATATAACCGAATTTCTAGAGTCGAATATGAACCACTTAACTAATAAAAACTCAAAGAATTTGAACTATATATAGCCAGACCTACAATAAAAACAAGATCACATACAAAACAAATAGCACAAACATATAGCACACATTGGACAATACTGATTCCTGGCAAGGAAAACTAATGTTAAATAAAACTCCAAAACCAGTCAGGGTTGAGGAGTATATTGAACACTGGAGTAGGGCGGTGTATAAACCCTAAATCAAAATTTAATAAAACAAATTTAAATGAACTTAACTCATACATCATATAAAAATGGAGCAACCAAAATACATAAAACCATTTAACTTTTGGAACTAGGGGGTACCTCATTATGATGTTAATCTGAAAGGTACCACACTAATAAACTTTGAGACCTACATATCTCCAGCTGTAGAGCTGTGTTGGTGCTGTGTTATGTTGTGCTGTAGAGTGTGCTGTGCTGTTCTGTGCTGTGCTGTATGGCTCTGCTGTAGAGCTGTGTGTGTTCTGCGCTTGCAACGCTGAGCCGTGCTGTGCATATGTTTTCGAGTGTTTCGAATATTCCAAAGTTGCTAGTCGGATTGAGGGTAATCGGGCGTTGCAGACCAAAGCGGCGGGCGCTAATTATCTAACCCAGGAATCAATAGTGATCAGGTGACTACAAATAATCTTTGCTTGTTTGGCCAGTGGAACTGGTAGCAAAGAGTTAAAGGAGTATATACATTGCTCCAGATATACTATATTTTAGCCGTGGGCTAATGTAGGTTTTTATTGTAATACCCAGTGTTTTGCTATTGAGTAAAACTATCAATGCGTTATTTTGAATGAAATATCATTGGTTTTGCCATTGAGTAAAACTATAATTTTGTCACTTTGAACAAAATATCGTTTGTATTTTACTATTGTAAAGATCATATTTCTTTTTTGTGTTATACCCTGAATCGTTCTTTCTTTATTTGCCTTGTTATCTTATTTGTTGAATTAGTAAGATCGTGCTAATTATGTTAATTAGTCCCAAATTGGGACCCATGCACGCACGTATCTATCATACTTCATTTGATATTTTCATATAACATTAAATATATTGTATTGCATTCCCATCAATGGTCTGTTGTTAATCCGGAAATCCCAAACTCGGTTATCATGTTAAAGTGTGTGTGTGTGTGTGTGTGTGTGTGTGTGTGTGTGTGTGTGTTATTTTAACCCTGTCGTAGAAAGCAAACGGTTCGTGATAAGGCTTATGTAAACATTTGTTTATAAAGAAGTCAAAATGAATGTTTAATAACATTGTAAACATTTGATTGACTTTATTGTTTTGATTAATATATTCTTAAAAATTAGAAAATAATCGCCTGATAACTGAAGTGTAAAAGTATCTATATTTCTATTTCCAGTTGAATCACATTACTGCAAGTTAACAAGCCAATCTCCTTCAGGCAAACGAGCCGGATATCGAACTTATAAAGACAGATTGCAAATGAGGCTATCACATGGGGAGAATGTTTGAGGACACATAGATCACATATTCACAAATCTCTAATTGGTTAACGCATTAACTGGCAGACGCAGAACTAGCATACATCATTTGGATGTTTGAATGCTTTTATCGAAGATTTGTTTCAATTACAAATACGTTCTTGCCAAGATAGAAAATGTGCTCGAGAAAGACTGCCATTCGGTTGATTTGAGCTGAAACAAATTGTATTACGTACGCCTGCTAAACGACCTCCTTCATCAAAATCTCATTGTGTGTCTAAAATAAATTTTCCCAGTGGCAGCTCATTTGACAGGAGTTAGAGTAATTTATATCCGCAACACCCTCTTAATGACAGCGAGAAAGGACTTTCAAAAAAGAAAACATATTTACTCTTCGGCAAACATTCATTTACTCAAGACATTGCACGGAATTTGCCCTGTTATACATAATTATATAGTTGGATGAGTGATGCTGTTTAAGGTTACATAAATGTTCAGTCGTGATTAAAAGCATACATTTTGTACGAAGACTAGTCAACTATACAGACAATATAGATATTTCTGAGATAATGCCGTCGTTTCCTGATTCCTGGAATATACTGTTCCAAATCCAATAATTTATTTTCAGCGTTGTGGTGACACACAAAACAGTGCAGCTTTAAATTTTAAAAACTGTGATCCATTAATAGTAAAGCAGTTTTTGTTTCTAGAAGATGCGATCCATTATTTGGTCAATCATTGTCGGCAAAGATAGATACTCTTTTTTTAAACAAATAATTTGGTTGTAATCTATTTATTCAGCTGCTACTACTATTACTGCTGCTGCTGCTACTACTGTTAACATAAATCTGTTACAACTGTACCTGTCACAACCAGTTTTCATTTTTGTTGCTTTACTTAAATCTCATTTTATACCAATATATGTCAGTGGATAAAACAAGATTATTATTAAAGAATATTTTGTAAAATATGTGTTACACCGAGAAGTTAAAGCACTCACATATCTTAGTACCGACAATCAGACTATAGACTGCTAGAGTCAAATATAATAATAATTCATCAAGTACTAATATGTACGATTCGTTCTAAATAGACACTTCATTCAAACATACAATGGTTAAAATTTTGTCAAATAAGATGTACGCATCATAAACACAAGCAAATAAATTTGTGCCATATGCAAGCATTAATTACCTAGCTGTTGTTTTCTGTAGTGTATCACTGTTCCATATGGAAGTATTAATTACGTAACTGTTGTTTTTTGTAGTGTATAACTGTTCCATATGCAAGTATTAATTACCTAACTATTGTTTTCTGTAGTGTATCACTGTTTTATATACAAGTATTAATTACCTAACTGTTGTTTTCTGTAGTGTATCACTGTTCCATATGCAAGTATTAATTACCTAACTGTTGCTTTCTGTAGTGTATCGCTGTACCATATGCAAGTATTAATTACCTAACTATTGTTTTCTGTAGTGTATCACTGTTCTATATACAAGTATTAATTACCTAACTGTTGTTTTCTGTAGTGTATCACTGTTCCATATGCAAGTATTAATTACCTAACTGTTGCTTTCTGTAGTGTATCGCTGTACCATATGCAAGTATTAATTACCTAACTATTGTTTTCTGTAGTGTAACACTGTTCCATATGCAAGTATTAATTACCTAACTGTTGTTTTCTGTAGTGTAACACTGTTCTATATACAAGTATTAATTACCTAATTGTTGTTTTCTGTAGTGTATCACTGTTCTATATACAAGTATTAATTACCTAACTGTTGTTTTCTGAAGTGTATCACTTTACCATATGCAAGTATTAATTACCTAAATGTTGTTTTCTGTAGTTTATCATTGTTCCATATGCAAGTATTAATTACCTAACTGTTGTTTTCTGTAGTGTATAACTGTACCATATGCAAGTATTAATTACGTAACTGTTGTTTTCTGTATTACTGTTACATATGCAAGTATTCATTACCTTAGTGTTGTTTTCTGTAGTTTATCACTGTTCCATATGCAAGAATTAATTACCAAACAGCGTTGTTTTCCGTATTACTGTTACATACGCAAGTATTCATTACCTTAGTGTTGTTTTCTGTAGTTTATCACTGTTCCATATGCAAGAATTAATTACCAAACAGCGTTGTTTTCCGTATTACTGTTACATACGCAAGTATTCATTACCTTAGTGTTGTTTTCTGTAGTTTATCACTGTACCATATGCAAGAATTAATTACCTAACTGTTGTTTTCTGTATTACTGTTACATATGCAAGTATTCATTACCTTAGTTTTGTTTTCTGTAGAGCATCACTGTTCCATATTCAAGTATTAATTACCTAACAGTGTTGTCTTCTGTCTTGTCGTTTTATCATAGGCAAGTATTAATGCCCTAATAGTGTTGTTCAAGGATTAAGTACATAAGAATCGTTTCCTTCAGTGTCATTGTGCCATAAGCAAGTATTAATTATCGAATAGTGTTGTTTCCAGCAGTGTATCACTGTACAATATGCAAGCATTAATTACATAATAGTGTTGTTTTCTGTATTGTCTTTGTATTATAGTAAAGTATTAATTACCTAACAGTGTGTGTCGGCTCCGGTGGCCTAGTGGTTAGAGCATCCACCTCGGGTGCGGATGGTGGCGGATTCGAACCCAGCCGTGTCGTACCAAAGGCTTATAAAAATGGTTGCCTCGCATGGCACTCAACATTAAGAGGTCAGTGTTAGGAATGGTCGGCCTGGTGTCAGGATAATGTGACTGGGCGGAGCCTGATGCCTCGTGTGTACGGCATGTTCCACCATTGGCAGACATGATCATAAATTGTCACACTGCAGACATCGTAGCGATATGATTATGATTGAAAAATTGATAAAACTATGTTGAAATTCACACACACACACACACACACACAGAGTGTTGTTTTCCGTTGTGCTTCAGTGTATCATATGCAGGCAGTAATTAATAAATTAGTTTTTTATGTAGTGTGTTATTACCATTATACCATATTGCCAAGCATTAATTACCCAACAGTGTTGTTTTCTTAAGTTTATCACTGTTCCATGTGTTACTGTTCATTACCTAAAATTTATCTTCTGTACAGTTATTGCGCCATATGCAATCAGTAATTACTTAACAATGTTGTTTATGTAGTGTGTCATTGTGCCATATGCTAGCATTAATTACCTAACATTATTTTGTTGTAATTTATTACTGTACTGAATGCAAACATTCATCTCATTACATTATTGTTTTCTCTAGTGTGTCATGATGCCGTATACAATCGTACAGTGCTATTTTCTGTATAGTGTCATGATACCGTATACAATCATACAGCGCTATTTCTGTATTGTGTCATGATACCGTATACAATCATACAGTGCTATTTTCTGTATTGTGTCATGATACCGTATACAATCATACAGCGCTATTTTCTGTATTGTGTCATGATACCGTATACAATCATACAGCGCTATTTTCTGTATTGTGTCATGATACCGTATACAATCATACAGTGCTATTTTCTGTATTGTGTCATGATACCGTATGCAATCATACTGTGCTATTTTCTGCATTCTGTCAATACACCATAAAATAATATACCCATTATCCAACTTTGAGACGTAATCAACTAGGGAATCGTGAGATAATAGTGACTATGATGCAGAGTGACAGGAGATTGCCTTGTGGAATAAATTACACCATTAATGCCAATATATGAACTGTTATTTAAAGCATATTACAAAATTTGTTAGCACATACTAAACAGTGTTAAATTAACTAACATAAAGAAAGAAGTGCACGTCTTTAAGTCTCGTGGATGTTTCACAATCAGTGTGTCATTCTATAGAAGTGAATAAAGCATATACATCTTGAAAGCAAGGAATTATGCAAGTAAAAATGGCGTATGAGGCTTGCAAACAATTAATGAAGTGCATTATCCTACGCAAGTAAAAAAGGCATATCTCTCTTGCAAACAATAAGCGATGCGTCATTCTATGCAAGTAAAAATGGGCATATGCGTATTGTAAATGATATTATAGATATTCACGCTCAAGGTTTAAGGCATGCAGATCATGGCGAAATCATTCCTTGAAGTAAATGAGTTGTAATAGCTAAAACCTGCTTTATGTGTGTCTTGTTTCAAATTCTACTCGATGATATGACAACTCGTAAATTAAGTTATTGTGAGAAGCAAATCTAATGAAATTATCGTTTAAAATCAATTTTTATAATAATAACGTATGAATAAAAAATTACAATAAGAAAGTTGCACATTTAAGTGCAACCCAGTGTGACCTGATTGTTTAATACAAAAATCCGTATTTGCTTAAAAGTAACAGAAAAGATAAAATATTTCTTATAATCGTATCAAAACTAAAATTAAATACCCAAAATCGTATTAAGATTACATCGTTGTAGTTATCGTACATAACTGTTCTGGTCTCTGTTATTGGAGAACAAATAGAAGTAAATCAATTAAATCAGTCGAACGCAGTTACATGACAAGCATAACCTATTGCTCTACACATGTTTTAGTACACGCATTACATGTCTCATCTTTGTGGGACGATGATATGTTTAACGATGCATGAACACGGTGAGAATGGAGAAGACTTCGAACTATTATCCCTATCTGTGCATCTTTATCATGGGTAAGGAAAAAGATGGACATTTGAAGATACTGTATTTTGACAGCAAGTATTGAATTTGCTGGAATATCACTACTTGAATGTTGTATACAGATGCAAGCAAAACAAACTTTTTTTCGAAACGCAAAACATGTTATGTAATTTAATTTAATTTAATTATTTGTTTGTTAGTTTTAATTTCTAAAAACAAATATCATATCTTATGGTAATAATAACTTTGTCTACTTGATTTGCTATTGGTTTTAGAAATTAATTTCAGTTATGTTTGACCTAATAAACAACCAGTAGTTGAAACATTGTATCAAGCTTCTGACCTTGATTCAGAAATCAGATAGTTCTAATAAACAAAATTTACATATTATTCATTCTAAGAGTAAGATTCATTCAGTGGAATTAAGACTATATCTACAGTACGTGATAATTAGCATGTAAAAATTCTACTTTGTTCTAGAAGGTGACCACATGACCCTCATATGGCAATCTGTTTTGCGTCTTAACTTATTGTATAACGGTTTTTTCGAGAAGAACTAACCAGTTAAGCTTAAACGCTTAGACTCTTAAATGTATCTTGTTGTGACCAGTTTGAGTTGAATTTTTATTTTATGGAATTATTAATTCTTTCTCTGGAAAATACTAGTGCTCATACAGAAATTCCTTGACACGGAAACTTATCGAAATTTATTCAGAAATTCTAAAATGGAATATTATTCATTGTGATTTAACAAGGAACTGTTGACACGGCAAAACTGTGCAGGTCACGACAAACGTCATCGCCCTCCACTTTGATATCATCGGGACTCGAACAAAGATTAATTTAAGACTTTTCATTGATAGGACATCTATTTTTAATTATTGGAATAATTTTGGATTTGATTCATAAACCGTTAAGTCCTTTTTCTCATTTTTACCTTGTTTTCTATGGAAATGAATTATTTGTTAAATTTGCAAAGTATGCTGTCTTCACTCTTTTCTTGTTACCTTAATATAAGCCTAGACAAGTAACATTTATCATGCCTATTTTTCAATATGTCTACCTACTGCTAAATAGACGCGTTGACATTGTGCCTTGAAGGAGTTAGTGCAAGGCATTCATGCAAGAATGGGTCTAATGCATTACATACCGTTTTGTCTATCTTGTGCCTCCTATGGTGATCACATCAAATGTTCGCCAATGTTAAATTGTATTAATTGTCACTATTTCGCTTTGATGTTGAGTCGAAATGAAACAAATTTAGTAACAGCAGGATTATAAGGTTTTGTAATGGCTTTTCGTTCATTTCTACCGACAGCTCACAATTGAGACCCACAAAAATATTAACAAAGAATCGGGAAAACTAATGAACTGTTTCATCCATCAGCAGGTTTTACCCTTAAGTCAATGAACACAATGAGATGTTAAATTGCACAATTCCAGGCATGAATCCTTACTCCCAACTTGTGGTAATGGACGATATAGGGTTGGTGAAGAAGAGAGATTTACTATAATGGATATTTTACGTCATCAGTGGTGACAAATTAGCTCGGAAATCTATGGATAGTAGCAGCACTTGAGGTGACACAATAATTCTCCGCTACGGGGTGTCTCATGATTCTTAACTGTAAATTGTGCACATCCGGTTTTGGTTTTCCTGACGACATTTGATATAGTGTGTTTGACGGAGTTTTGCGCGATTTTAAGTGAATGTACGGGAATCTTTGCAGAAGATATAAATGATGTAGCATGATACATGATTGAAACATATCAATATGATTGACTTTTCTGGGAAGGAAACCAAAAGTGTAATTGACGATGCATAAATTAATATTACTGGATACACGAGGCTGCGATCCGCAAATGTAGTGGTTCAATGTGAGATTGGCGTAAAGGATAAATATACGTTTCGTAAAACATGTAGTAGAAATATTCTTTGATGGAATATCTGAAACAACGCTTGTGAAACATCGATGAAAACTCAGATTTGATTGTTTTTACTAACCATTGTTCTTCAAACTAGATATATGACGCGTAGAGGTACAAAGGACCGATATGTACCCTGACACAATAATATCATGACATCGTATACCAGGCAGTTTTCCTAGAAGTCTGACCGTCAGCTGAAATGACGCTGATCTGGTCACTGCATTGTAGCATTTTTTTTTACAATGAACCTTCTTGTCAAATTTTGGTTGTGGAAAATATACTAATTCTACAGGCAGATAATTTTCGACACTTTCTTCGAGTTCTTGTTCCACTTTTAATGCGTAATCGACCATTTCAGCAGCGACCATGTCTTTCACATGTATCTTGCTTATTTGTCTTTCAACCGCGTGTATTGCCTCAACAGAGAGAAGTAAACACAACCAACCATGCACGCAGATGGGAGTAAAATCTTTTACGTCCATGGTGGACTCTGCCATGTATAATCGTAGTTCCTTGACTAATCTGCATTCAGCAGATAAGATATGCCTACCACACCAGCAGAGTTGTTTCATTTATCAATTGTTTTTAACAAGATCAACATCTAGTTGCTTATCACCACAAACATATGAATCTTCTATTTCGTGAAGTATCAATGTGATATTGTCCGAGTAAATGATCGAGATATTTTATGTATATTTATGGTGGATTAATATTCATCGCGAAGTTGGAAAAAAACCTATTATTCTCACACAAAGGGAAACAGTCTCGCTTAAGTTGTGCAGTATACGTTATTTCACTGAGATTATACACTGTGCTGTTCGAAGTTGTTGCACATATTTCTTACTGCCAACAAACGCGTTTCCGTAAGTGTTAATTTCAGTGGTGTGAATTTGCAAATGAACCCCTATAGTACAAAACAATATCTAAGAAGACTCGGAGGATGTTTCAAACCTTACTGAGTCTCAAATAATTTTGCATGCCTCGTAAATTAACACGTCAGTTAATACTGACGGTGGGCGTCAGATTTGAAGCTCATATAGTGTGCAACCAATTGAAGCTCGGCGGTCTAATCAATTAATCAGTAAAACTATTGTGGTCGCGAGTGAGATTTGAGCC